AACTAAAAGAGTTGAAAGATGTAGGAATGTCAGATCGATCCAGACAGAAAGGTTTCTATGCGTATAGCAATACTAAATCTAGACTAGAGGCTGATCAATCTGTATTTAAAGTTTATAAAGGAGTCAAATGTTTTGATTTCTCGAAAGAAAAGAACATTATAGTCACTGGAGGTAATTCTACTTTGATATTCTCTTGTTTTTGGGATCTTCAATTTCTGCGAATATTGCAAGGGTATTGGTAATACTACAGTTGTATGTAAATACTGTAAAGGAATGTAAATATGCTATGAGGGTATGCAAATACTGTAAGGGTATGTAAATATACTAAGATGGTATGAAATTAATGCAAGGGCTTGTTAATATATTTCAAGGGTATGCAAATACTGTAAGGGTACTGGTATGCAAATTCTGCAAGGATATGTAAATATATTACGAGGGTATGCAAATACTGTAAGGATTTGTAAAAATACTACGAGGGTATGCAAATACTGTAAGGATTTGTAAAAATACTACGAGAGTATGCAAATACTCTAAGAGTATATAAATATACTTCAAGGGTATGTAAATACTGCAAGGATATGTAAATATATTACGAGGGTATGCAAATACTGTAAGGATTTGTAAAAATACTACAAGGGTATGCAAATACTGCAAGGATATGTAAATATACTACGAGGGTATGCAAATACTGTAAGGATTTGTAAAAATACTACAAGGGTATGCAAATACTGCAAGGATATGTAAATATACTACGAGGGTATGCAAATACTGTAAGGATTTGTAAAAATACTACAAGGGTATGCAAATACTGCAAGGATAGTGGTATGCAAATACTGTAAGGAAATGTTAATATACAAGGAGGGTATGCAAATACTGTAAGGGTTTGTAAAAATACTAAGAGGGTAAGCAAATACTGCAAGGGAAGTGGTATGCAAATACTGTAAGGATATGTTAATATACGAGGAGGGTATGCAAATACTGTAAGGGTTTGTAAAAATAATAAGAGGATATGCAAATACTGCAAGGGTACTGGTATGCAAATACTGCAAGGGTACTGGTATGCAAATACTGCAAGGATATGTAAATATACTAAGAGGGCATGCAAATACTGTAGGGGTAGGGGGGAAAAATATGAAATTGACTGAATTTCTAATCTAGTTATGAGATTTTTGCCAGAAAAACTTTGTCTGTGAGGGTGGATGCAAATACTGTATAAGGGTATGTAAATAATGCAAGGGTATGCAAATGATGCAAGGGTAATTCAAGGGTATTTAAATAATTCAATGCAAATACTACAAGGGTATGCAAATACTGTAATGATATAAATACTGTAATGATATACAAATGATGCGAAAGTTTTCTCAGCTTCAGTCTGGGACATCAATGACAGACTTTGAATATATGACCACATATCATATAAGCCTAGAAATTGTCTTATGTTTTTACAATTCGCATAAATAAGAAAATTGTTTTTTTAATTTAAAGAGCATAATAAATTTTGAACGACTTTGTGTTATATAAGTGGGCATGTATTTTTTAAATTCTTATTTCAACTTTTTTAAGCTCAGTAATAAATATAACTTAATGGTTCTGTCATCATAGTTTGTCTCATTCTGTCTGTCTGTCTCTCATTTTCTAAATTTTGCGCCTAAATTCACTTTGAAATTGTTAATAACTAGTAAATGGGGTACAGTGTAGGATGTTGTAAGAGATACTCTCCTATAGAACTAAAAGCACTGGCCTAGGTTACAAGTAGAGACAATGGATTTGAGCATTAGAATATATCAATATGATAGAATATATACAGATTCAAGAAAAACAAATCAGTACCAGCAAAACCAGCCACTACTTTATAGGTCACAAGATGTGATACAACCAGAAGAAAAGAAACTCAGAACCTATTCACGCTGGCTAATCTTCTTGTTAAAGTTTGCAAGAAATTCTCCATTATTTTAAACCTTTAGAGATTCCAAAATTTGCATATTTACATGTCAGTTTTTTAATGACTTGTGAAAAGCATTACATGCGTGGCATTGAAGAAATTTTGGTTACATAAGTGAACTTATATGAAAGGTGACTTTTTTAAGCTAATGACAATACATTATCATCTCAGGATGTTTGCTGTCTGTCAGTTGAAGGTATAACTGCACATGTAAATGTGTTATCTCAAGAAAAAAAGTGCAATATAAGCTTATGTAATGCCATTTGAATCATGAATTTATATAAGCAGGTTATTTGGTAATTTGAACAGGACAGCAACTGTTAAAGAGACTCACCCACTTGATAAGTACAAATTTTTTACTACAAAGGCTGTACAGAAATTTGGCTATACTTTGTATAAGGGCAATGTCCATAATGTCTGAAATCACATGCATACTACCAATAGTCACTTGTTTTTGATGATTTCATTGTGATATTTTTTATATTTTGTACAGCCATACATTTGTATAGAAGCATGAGATCTAGTGGACAAGCAAAACCTGAATTAAACTGCAAATCTCATTAAGAAATACCCATCTCGTGCTCATGGGTTTCAGATTTCAAATTTGCTTAAGGACAGCTGTCTTGAAAGTGGGAGTTCATTTTCCGACACAAGGACTGTATTATGTGAACTCACTGAGCACTAGTGTGAAACGTCAGAAAAAAGAATATGTTACGACTCCAATATAATCAAGATTTCATTGTGAAATTTGTGATACTTTTATTGGAAAATTCTATTTTAAATAGAACAACATGGGAATGTTGCACTTTCAAGACAAAATTTGTTGTGCATTTCAAAATGTGACAGCCTCTTTAAACTTGTAAAGACAATATACATTGCATAATGAATAGTATGGTTACATAAACAAAAAATCCCACATTACCATACTTGTGACTGATCAGCATTTCTTTTTCATTCATGCATATTCATACTAAGTTTTTATTTAAGAGACATCAGATCTTCCCCAAGGCTGAGATCAATTTCAGAATCTGCTCTTAGTCAAGATATTTTGAACTTTTTTTGTCCTGTGGTCTACATCACTCATTCTTGCTGACTTATAAATTTATAGTCCTCTTCCTTTCGTGAAAGAATTTATTATATTGATGCCAACATTAGAAAGTTGGTAACCAAAAGCAATGTAATAAAGGGCAACAGAATATTTGCCTCATAGGAAAAAGACCCTAGTTTGGGACCTGTATACAACTATTACTCTAGATTTTGCAGTACTGTGGACAAGATTTTTATAAACTGAATTGTCTTGCTAGTACAGATTTTTATTAGTTCACAATAATAAGAATATCTAGTCGTATATCATTAGAAATTACCAGACTTCAAAGCTGATAAATCAAACCTTATGATCAGTCAATGTCAAGTGTTCTATCTATAAACTAATTAAATTGTGTGTAGTTTATTATTTATTAGTTAAAATTCTTTTTATATCAAAATATAAGATAAGATCTAGATGACTTAAATAATTTTTAAATATAGAGAGTCATTGTATAATTTTGTCAGTAAATCATCTTATGTAAGAAGATGAAAACAATTATTCTTTTGTTGAAAAGTTGTAGTGATTTGTTACCAGGACAACACAACTGTCTTATTCCATTCCTGCGATTTCTTGACCAAGATGTAGACTGGCTGCACAACAAAAATGTTAAGATATTGCCCAATATAGAAATATAGGCACTGGACTATTTCTGCCTTGACCCTACTGAAGTACAGATGAACAAGACTATGTTCCTACTGAAGTTTGATCTGAAGTAGAGATCTTCAGACAACTCCACTATTTCAGCTTGTATCTCTACAGAAGTTTGACAAGTATAGATCTTCAGACAACTGGACTATTTCAGGATCTATCTCTACTGAAGTAGTGACCTACAGAAAAACTGAAGAAACTCTATACAGAAGTTTTAGAGACAAAGATCTTCAAACAACTGGAGTTTTTTCAATCAATATCCCTATTGAAGGTCCAGTTATCTCAAGAATGTCCTATATGAATTATTTACCATAGACGTTAAATAAGCCATGAATTTAGCAGATGTTATATTTAAATTTTTAATTTTTCATACAAATTGTTCTTTAATTTTGATAGTTATTTAGTTACTTTGAACTAATATATATCTAAAAGATAACAATTTTAAATTTTTCAAATTTTGACTTTTGTCACTGACTTTTTTAGTTTTAAATTTTTTTCCACTCGTTGATTACAAACAAAAAATTGTTTTCAAAATTTCGATATCAATTCTGGTTTTGATGTCATTCGCTACTAAACTTTGAATTTCCAAAATTTAAAGATATTTGAAAAATTTCTTTTGCAATAAGCAAGAATTGTGCCTATAAAGATTTTGAAAAAAAAAAATTGTCAGATGTACCCGACACCTTCTCGATATGACCAACATTTGTAAAACTAAAAATGGGGCTTAGGAGTAAAGCCGATTTGTGTATTTTGGTGTCGAAAGCATCTCCGATTGATTGCGAAAAAAAAAATTGGGAGTGGATTTTTTAATTTTAGTTTTGTTATTTTTATTTCCAGTTTTATATTTTCAGTAAACGCCAATTGTTTAAAGGTTTATATCTCGTGACCTTGACCATTGGTGACCTTAAACAAAAGTTGTTGCCCTGACGAGATCTGTCTAATCAAGCGATGTTAACTTCTGGTTCTAGAGCCATTTGAAAATCGCGATTTTTATCTCTAAGGAGCTCTTACACATGACCTAATTTGCATACAAGCAAAATTTCTTTATATCCTTAATATGTGCAATCTCTCCTTTCTGAAGATATACCATACTTGATATTTTGATCAAATTTACACTTTTCAAAATTTGAAAATTTTGCTCTGACTTCTTAAGTATCTCATTTACTTAATATAATTGAATTTTTTATAACTCACAAAGTATGCAACTAATCTGAAGCATTCATTGGTATCACGTGATATTTCTGACTTCACAGGATATTGTGACCAGAAAGGAATTGTTTCTCTATACTCTCTGATATATAAAATGTTTACCATTTGATTCCAGGTATGGACAGAATCATCAGATTATGGAATCCATATGTCTTTGGGTAATTGTTATTCTGTTATTTATTCAAAATGTGAGATCAATGTTTATAAGAGTACAATTCTTGTGAATTTGGTCAGGTGATCCAAAAATTCACGTTCTTACAAAATATTGATAACTTTTGAACATTCACTGTCAAAGATTTTTCGATCACTTTCATCATTAATGATAAGTGAGTTTCTATTAAAACACCATGTATGACAATTCTCTACAATGTAAAACATATTCAATATTCTCATATTACCTCAATATAATTACAGTGGAATGTATACTATAATACTGTTATTTGATTTTCTTTCAGCAAACCAACTGCATTATTACGTGGTCACAATGCACCAATATTTTATCTGTTTATTGCTGAAGATGATAATCGTATATATAGTATATCAACAGATAAATGTATAAAGGTACAGTATTAGAAAGATATTACCACTTAAAATGCACATGAAATTTAGCCAATAAGAGTATTATATTCAACAGTGGACTTACCAGATGTCATAAATATTCAACAGAATCCCTCTATAAACTGATAAATCGATAAAACAACGTAATAAATCAAAGATTATTTATTATTTTGTATAATTACTTACTTTTATGGATTTATGAGATTACATTGGGATTCTGGGCGTTGGGTGAAAGGTGAATATATACCCTTTAACTCTTGTTGGCCAAATTCTAAAAACTAAAAACCTTGGGCAATGATAATTTTTTTGAATAAATAAAGAAATGGGATAATTCCACCACTTTCTGATAAGAGGATTGGCTCCTTTCTTGCACCTTTCAGAAAGCCTGAAGAGGTTCCTTTCCTACAGTTCTAATTTTATCTTCATCATTATTAATATATAGACCAAAACTAGATGATAATAATGTAGGGTAAATATATGTTTTTGAGAAACAGGTTGCCTGGATTATAATGACAGTATTATGTTAGGAATGTGGAGTAAAAACCTGAATGAAACTGAGTGTTTTATTGAGACATCTTGCTCCTAATGACTCATTCATAAACTAACAACAATAGTCACTTTACTATGAAATAGGATGTATCTGACATGGGTACAAATAACCTTGGGAAGATTATTAATTCGTTCAAGGACAAACATGTTGACAGGACTCTAAGATCCTTAGTTGTTATCTTTGTATAATGGATCATAATTTATAAGTCATCTCAATTGATTTTCATCCTAATATTAAGTCATCTCAACTGATTTTCATCCTAATATTAAGTCATCTCAAATGATTTTCATCCAAATATTAAGTCATCTCAAATGATTTTCATCCAAATATTAAGTCATTTCAATTGATTTTCATCCTAATATTAAGTCATCTCAAATGATTTTCATCCTAATATTAAGTCATCTCAAATGATTTTCATCCAAATATTAAGTCATCTCAATTGATTTTTATTCAAATATTAAGTCATCTCAATTGATTTTCATCCAAATATTAAGTCATCTCAATTGGTTTTCATCCAAATATTAAGTCATCTTAATTGATTTTTGTCCAAATATTAAGTCATCTCAATTGATTTTCATCCAAATATTAAGTGATCTCAAATGATTTTCATCCAAATATTAAGTCATCTCAATTGATTTTTATCCAAATATTAAGTCATCTCAATTGATTTTTGTCCAAATATTAAGTCATCTCAATTGATTTCAAATCTTAAGTCATCTCAATTGATTTCAAATCTTAAGTCATCTCAATTGATTTCAAATATTAAGTCATCTCAATTGATTTTTGTCCAAATATTAAGTCATCTCAATTGATTTTTATCCAAATATTAAGTCATCTCAATTGATTTCAAATATTAAGTCATCTCAATTGATTTTTATCCAAATATTAAGTCATCTCAATTGATTGCAAATCTTAAGTCATCTCAATTGATTTTTGTCCAAATATTAAGTCATCTCAATTGATTTTTATCCAAATATTAAGTCATCTCAAATGATTTCAAATATTAAGTCATCTCAATTGATTTCAAATATTAAGTCATCTCAATTGATTTTTGTCCAAATATTAAGTCATCTCAATTGATTTTTGTCCAAATATTAAGTCATCTCAATTGATTTCAAATATTAAGTCATCTCAATTGATTTTTATCCAAATAATTAAGTCATCTCAATTGATTTCAAATATTAAGTCATCTCAATTGATTTCAAATATTAAGTCATCTCAATTGATTTTTATCCAAATATTAAGTCATCTCAATTGATTGCAAATCTTAAGTCATCTCAATTTCCTTTCAATCATGTTAAGTCATTTTAAGTGCCTGTCCAATTTTTATATTGAATCTTTTTTCAGGTATGGGACATCCAAGATCATAATTGTTTGGTCACCATTCGACCTAAAAGTCATAAAATTCGAGGAGATTTACAATCTATACATTATTCCTATGCATCTAAAGCATTATCTGTAGCTACAGACCAAATGGCAATATTACCACTTCGTCTCCGGTAGGAATATTTCAGTTATTTAGGTTTGGTTTAAAACAATAGTAAATTAGATTTCTTAAATTTCACTGACACAAATAGCAAACTGCAAATATTGTGGATGTCCAGGAAAGATCAATGTATAGAGGCTTTGCTAAGGACCAGCTGGTAGAAAGGATCCTTGTTAAGTTAAAGGGGCAATATGCAAAATTGTCATTATCAAAAATGTTGTAAATTATACCTGAAAATTTTTTAAGATATGTTACTTACATGTATGTATATAGTTGCTCAATTAGTTGGTCAGTTGAATTAGTTTTAAAAGGGTTAGATAAAAACAAATTGAACAAGTTGTTAATTAAGCAGCTTGAACTAGTTTTGGTAGAAAACTTTAGGAAAACGTAGAGGAGACATATTTCTCTACAATAAGGTCTATAATAACACCTCCCAAATAGTTTCACAAACTTAAAAAGTTTATGTGACAGTTTTAAAATTTAATACTTAAAAACTTAACGACAGGATTTTTTTGGTTAAAACTCCAGTGACACTTTTCTCTAGAATTTGATATACAGGTTTCATAAATTTTTACAAAAATTTAATTCAACCTACAAAAAAGAAAAAAAGAAAACCTCTTTAAGATGCTATTTTTTATACCTAAACCATCCCTTTTAATGTTACATCAACTTAAGGTGCCAAAAACTGGTTATATTTATGAACACTAAAAGTGGGTTAAAGCATCCAGTACAAAAGCGTCAAGGTTGTCAAGAGGCAGTAATAGCTGTTTAAATAGTTTAATTCACTTGGAGCACTATTGCACTAAGCTTTGTTTCATTTTTGATCATTTCTCCATCATGACAGATGAGGAAATGTCTGTCAAAAAACCTGATCTAGGCTCAGTGCCCCCCCCCCAATTCCCCCTCACTCAGTGCCCCCTGCCCTCCCTGTTAATGAAATCCTGGCTATGCCATTGTCTGGACTCATTCAATGTGTGGTCCAAGGGAGATAATAAATTCTATAAGTATAGTTATGAGTAAAATATCAGAATATAATCCTAGTGTGGATTTATATAATACAATAAGTGTCAGCTCTGCATGTAAATTTTTTTAGGCATGTCAAAATATTCTGCTGTAGGAAAATTTGATTTCATGGGTTATCAAATTATTAAAATATTTCCGCCAAACAGCTGATTGCAGAATTAATTAACTGACAGTTGTTCAAATACATAAATTATATCCACTTCAGCAAATTAGTAATCATAATGATTCCTAATATACATATTTTTTTTTTGCTGTTTCAGTCCAGTATTACATGCTGATATGGTGATCACACACAAAGAACCTGTCACATGTTGTAAATATAATACCAGTTTTAAACAAGTAGTCACATGTTCCGAGGGGTCAGTAATTAAACTGTGGGATCTAGAAACTGGTACTGCTATATTTGAATATGGTGATGCTCACGGTGATAATGCTATAACTTGTATGACTTTCGATAGTACAGGTAGAAGGTAGGTGGTCCATTTTGTAGAAGACTTGCTTTCAACTTCCCAATTCCAATAACAAACCTGAACAAAGTAAGTGAACTCACCTAAAGGATGGAAAGAATATGTACAGACTAAATTTACAAGAGCTCAACTAATTCTGTTTAATTTTAATACAAAATATACCATTATGGAAAACTTGTTTGAAAATAAGATTAAAAGTAAGTCTATAAAGAAAAACAAAATTGAATTATTCAGGCAATGAAAATAAATCTCTTTTGATTGTTAATATTTTTATGATTATGATTAGAATTAGAATTATTATTGATTATTACTATGACTCTTATGATTAATAAGATAAGAAATATAATAATTATGATTCTAAAGGTCAACAATATTATTAGAATTATTATTGATTATTATGATTATTATTGATATTATGATTATTATTGATTATTATGATTATTATTGATTATTATGATTATTATGATTTGAGAATATACTTTACCTTTGTTAAATTAATCATGTCTAAAAGGGACAGGTGCACCATTTTTTTACCAATCATATCTTAGTCTCAGAAACAGTATATTTTTAGCTAAGTCCATCAGTAATATTGTTCACAGTAGTTCAGTGTCAAAATTTGAACCTTCAAATTCATGTGTGTCCAGTCCTAGTGTCCAGGATTATCTGCTTTTGAAAGTTTAAAAGACAAGTCATCTTGAGACACATATATTATAGAAAAGACATCTAAAGAAATTGAATATTTTTGAAGGAATTATGCCATTTTCGTACACTTCTAGAACTGCAGAAGACTATTTACATATATACAAGACTCAAATCAACCCTGTAAATGACTCATCTGTCCCTTTAATTTTTTTTTTTTTATTATTATCTGTAGATTAATAACTGGGGGCAGAGATGGTAGATTAAAAATCTGGAATTATAACAATGGACATTGTCTCAAAGTTTTTGAAAAAGGTAAATTGACTGAAAATTTTATATTTTTGTTTTTGTTACATTTCAATATATTAATTTGTACCCATGCTACAAAATGATGATCCCAGCTTGAGTATGGCTGTATTTGCGAAAGCTCCAGCTGGTATACCATAGTTCAAGTATCTTCAAAATAATTTATTTTTTTCAGAGAAGCGTAATGAAGAGATTTGTGATGTAACATTTATTGAGATTAATAGGAATCGGTATGTGATATCAGTTGGTTGGGATAAACGTGTTAATATATATTGTGATAACCAATCAGATAGTAATATACATCATGTACAACATCCACAACCTTATTGGGCTGATGATGCTGTAAGTATTTCCTCATCATGGCACCCAATATTAGTAATAAATAGTCTAACTATTTGAAATTGAACCAATTGTTGGTAGTTGTAGTAGAATCTGAATCAGTTGGATGGTTTGGTAATGTCAGACTTAAAAATAAATAAGTTCCAAATTTGCTTATTTTAATGTCTTTTGATACTAAAACTAAATATCTCTAGCAAATTGTTGCAAACTTAGTTGCACTAAAGCCAGTTAGACCAAATTGTTGCTTTCAGAAGACAGCTTGACTTTCTATCCCTTTTGTTTTGTATTTATCTTAGTACTCGGTTCTCTGCCTTATCTTGTGTGCTTTTTCATATGTAGCATTCCTGGTACGCTGTAGTTGGGTATAAACTAGATAAAAGGGTGAATAGTCAACTAATATATTGACACAGCTTGATGGAATAATATTAGTTGTCAACTAATAGTTTACATTGATCTCTCAAAATTGTTTAAAAGGTCTCCAAGGTAATTGCTGTGGTGTTTAAATTTACCATCAGTTGGAACCAGGAATATGCGAAGATCAGATCTTATAAAATTTTGTTATTCCTTCAGAAAAATGGTCATAAAGAAGATATATTATCTGTTGCTCAGAGTCCACCTAATTTACTGGCTACAGCTAGTTATGATGGGGAGGTGATTGTATGGAATATGGTGTCTGGTCATATCTTCTGTCATCTAATACCACCTTCACCAAAACACTATACTGATCAGTCATGTAAGTTGATTTTTATAAGAATGAGGAGGAAACAGGGCTGTTGATTTGGCTCTATTTTCCAGACCTGGTTGGCAGGGAAACTCACATGTCTGATGATCAATATCAGCCATTACATGTTATTCATTGAAGATATTGTCATTTAAAGATGGGTTCCCTTATTTTCATTTATGAAAATGAAAATGCTAATACTTATATGAATAGAAAGTAGAGGTGTTCTACTGACTTGGAAAAATACCAGTTTGTCTCACATGTCCATAATTGATTCATAATTAGCTAAAGAGAATTACCAGCAGAATTCCCATGAGTGACTGATCAACAACGGTCAAATGGTCTTTTTTTGTTATCCAGATTGTACATACATGGACATTTATGATTGGTTAAAACTCTTAATTACATGCAATATAAGAAAATATTGATATGATTAATAATACATAATAATTCATTAGTAACACCAATTAATCAAATAGTTTGCTTAGTCGACAGTAACAAATAAGGAAACCCATCTTTAACGTCTGAAATCACTAATGGGATAAATAGCCATCAACCTCTGTGGGTAATACAATGACCTAATTACCTACTGTTATCTGATAATGATTCACACAGTGGAAATGTAGCCCAGTCTGCTGTAGCATTAACATTTTAATTACTGGATTATATCAAGAAAATGATGGTCATGGGTTCTGTTCTCAATTTGCTTTCTGCAGTTTAATGACCAAGGACAAGGTTATGTGCTGGCATGTACAAACTTCTAGTTTAAACCTGCATCATTTATTTTCAGTGGATGGTGATTTAAGTATTAATAAAATTTTGTTCCTGTCAACAAGAGCCTATAAAAAGGATGCTGCCACATTAGTAGCTAGTGGTCCACGTGCTAATATTCATTTCTGGAATGTGTTTCAAGGCGGCAAACTTATGGCTCAATTTTCTGGGGTAATTATGTCTCTTTTTTAGACAAATTCTTGTTTTAGATAATTCTCTGTATTTTTTCTTTCTGATTTTGCAGCTAAATTTCATAGCTTTGAAATCAAAATTGGTATAGAAACCAGTGGAAAACCAGAATCCTGCAAGCTTTTTTTTCTGGTTAAGACAAATTTCAAGAAATGACAATGATAAAAAAATATAAAATCTAAGCCTAATGGTTTGATGATTTTTTTCAGTCTAAAATAGAAGGTGCAATGGTTAGTCGAATGGTAGTTAACCAAGATAATAGTCATTTGTATACTAGTGATAGTTTTGGTTTTATTTATGTTTGGTGTATCAAAGACTATTGTGTCAATAGATTAGAGCCTAATCCACCAGAATGTAAGTCGTTAATAGTTAAAAATTTCAAAGTTTGGCTGCAGCAGTTTTGACTGTTAAAAATGAAAGTGTTTCATTGATCCGAATGTTTTGTTGAGACAGACAACTTAAAGCTTGGGATCTAATGTTTTGTTCTTGATGTTTTCACAACAGAAAAACTGTGTATAGAAACATCTGGATCTGTTTTTTTATCAGATTGACTTGGTACAGGATAAGAATAAAATAAATCCTTGGAGATGTCTTCAAAGTAAAAATCAGATAACAGGTGCATCTATGTATCAGTCAGTATGAATAAATATCAATGAATTTTGAATTGAATAGTGTAGTTCTGACAAAGTAGCATTTGGATACAGTTCATAGATGTTAAAAAACCTCTGAAATCATAAAAAAAAAATGGCTAAATTGTGCTGTCCTGGCGAAAAAAAATACTCCTCATTGTAGAGTGTAAGACATACTCACTTCTCTCATACATGGTTGCTGGTCCTTACAATAATAATTAGACAGACATTGTTGGTAACATGATCCCATGTTTGGGACTATTTTTGATATGTTAACAGAGATTGAAGGGACTACAAAGATAACTCTGTATGAGAGACTAAAGTTGGGTGTGCAGAATAATATATTGTAAGATTTGTTTTACTTTGTTGGAGTTATTATTTGATTCCTAATTATTTACAGTATTATATTCATGGAGAGGACATATTGAAGGTGTTACGTGTATTGATTTAGTTGAGGAACAGAAGATATTGTTAACATCCTCTTCTGATTGTACAGTTAGATTGTGGAATTTACAGGGCCATTATATCGGTATGTGTCTCAACTTCCTCAATATAGAATTTTATGTAAATGTGATTTGCATTTTATAAGTTCTCAAAATTTCAGATTCCATGATTTGTAGACTTCCAATGTGAAGGAATTACAGTGAGACAGTTTGTCACCTTTTATGCAACTGATGCAAATAGATTGTAAAGAGATTTTCAAAATTTTTTTTATTTATCCATCAATTTGCACTATTCCAATTCTCAATCAGACGTCTGTGGCTCCTGGAATACCACTAAAAGTAAGAGTTTAATGACGTCACTAATCCCGAAATTTGCTTTTTTACATAAAGGGTAAAAAAAACTGCATTTTAAACGCGCATATATGTATTTTACTTGTAGACCTACTAGCTTAGACAATGTAAGATGATGACCTGCATTTTTTTCTTTGGTTCCAGGAACACTAGGTCAACCAGATAGTTGGGATATTCATAATCCCTCTACATATCAACATCCCATGGTACCATATGATGTACTAATAGATCCTGCCAGTCTACCAGCACATCCCATATTAGCAGAGAAACAAACTACCCATGATATTATTCATGAAGATTCTGTCAAAGATGAAGAGGTATAGTTTACTTTTGGAATCTTTTTTATTAATTAAAGTTTTATATTTGAATTAAGCAGGCAAACTATGTTAATTGATATCCATTCTTGAGTTTCTGAATAAACTTTAGGGATAGGAAAAAGGCATGAAGTGTCATCACTTAAACATACATTGATAAAAAATAATTGACTGAGTATGTTCACATAAAGCACATCTTTGATTTGCACTAGTGATTGATCTTGAGAAGTCTGTTACAAAAATCTCATGAGCCAACATCTGTGGTATGTAGCTAGTGTTAGATGTTCAGAAGTTTAATCTGGCTGACAGAAAAATTGGTCAAAAGACAAAAATACTAGGGGTAATTGCATGTCAGATGTTTATTTAGGTTTGAATTGTGACATTAAAAACCCTTTGTATGGCATCATTTTTTCCTTGTGCATTTTATATAATAAACAGGCTAACTTTCTATGCTGTTTTTCTTATATTTACAAGTTCTCTTACAGGAAGATGTCAAGAGTCCACCAATAACTTTCGGTCAGTTTCAACAGTTTCATATCTCAGATGAGGCCATAGCTGACCAATTAAAAACTAAACATTATAAAAAGGGTACAGGAAAGAGGTATATTTAAAGTATTTTATTGTATTTTTAACTTTTGGAAGGGGATAATGAGTTGACAAACACATTTGCAGAAGATAACTAGGTGTTAGAGTTTATTTTTGTGCATCAATATCTACTAGTACAAGTATTTGATATTTATCAATGTGGTTTTTCAGGCAAAGACATGAGAAGATGAAACCAATAAAAATAGATCGTGGTGGACCCAGTGAATATCAGATGTTAAAATGTTTTGATTTGAAAGAGACACCTCACATCAACCCTCCCTCAATCAAAACAAATAAAGATGATCCTTTTGAGTTTTATGTTGAATGAATTGCATTTAAATTGTTGATATATTGTTTTTAAGTTTACATTTGTTGAAAGACATTTTCAATTTTTGAATGTCACCAAATCCTTATGGGACAATACATTACTATTGATTCACAATAAGTTGTCACAATATGAATTCTTATTCTAAGTTATAACATCTTACTTTGAATAGCATAATATGAGAGTGATAAATGGCAATAAATCTTGGTATAAATAGTATTATCAATTTACATGTCGTCAAAGAATTTAGTTACTTATGATCAATGTTTATGACATTTGTTGAAAATGATTAAGTATGATTCAATTTTATTTAAACGTGGGTTTAACCAAATATTTCCTAGCTCAAGTAATGGATGTGACAGAATCTCTCAGATGTTTTGTTCCAAGTCACAATGTCAAATATGTACGTAGAATAACATGTGATATTTTGAGTTTTTAAATTTCTATCTGTGATATAAACAATTCTGTTCTTAATTCCTCCTGAAAATAATAAAAGACTTTAAGGAATTGCTTCTCCTAATTTCTGTTTAAAAATTTCAACTTTTTTATACATGCAAATACATGCATTTGGAGCTTTGGAGCTCTTTAAGCCCTTTGCCAAGGTATAAATTAGATGAAACTTATCCTTAAAGTCATTTTACACTCTGACCAGTATTAGAATTCCTGAAAATGTTTTGTTAAATTTTATTGTATTTATTTATTGTTTGTATTAAAACAAGATGTTTGATTTTTATTATGTTTTATTGTTGACACATCTCAATTATCATTCAATACATCTGGTTTGAAAATGGGGGTTAATATTTTGACTTGGAATATTAATGTAAGTTAGCTTTGGACTGGAACAGACAGAGCTGATCTTTTATTACCCCACACGTTTTAAAAATAAAGTCCTCCACCAGAGCTGTTAAATTGTGAATAGAGAAAATGACCATCAAATTTGGATAGCTGACATGGTGCTATTCCACAAATAAAAGATAGCTTGCTGGGGAAAATAACATATATGACAACTGAAAACTAATAGAACGACTATCATTATTTTATCTCCATCGTTCGAAATATGAATGACAAAAAGACAATTTTGGCGGCAAAATTGATAACCTAGAGATATTTTGATGCCTCTGCAGCAATTTTGGCAATTGATGTGGACACAATACAGAGATGGCAATGAAGTCATTAAGATTTTTCGAATCCAAGAAGAATCAGGTGGGGGAAAATTTCTGAAAATAAAGAGCTGTTTTCATAGAACTGTGGAATCAAGGGCCATAACTTGCATTATAATAAAAATGTATTACCAATATTTATATTTTTGAATTACGATAATGTGCATCCTTTTGTAGGGAAAGAAGAAGGTATCATTCAGATCAGTAAAGAACTAGGCTGTATTAATGTGACTCTTATTAAAAGAATTTAATCAAGTTGGGCCTAGGCCTATAACTTGTCAAACACATTTCAAAGAATAAGAATAGGTTTCATTCCGAAAATGAAACAAATAAACTTCAAGGCCTATCTTATCTATGTCTGTATTAGCAAATGATGTAGAAAGCTCAACATAAATTTGACGTCGAAATCTTTTGTACGATACTCGGACTAATTGACACAGCGGGTAGATGACAAGTTAACGTTCGCTTCCAGCGGATGCTGATATCGCGGAATATAGCGTTCTATTTATAGTCCTACCTGAGTGATCTAAAATAGTGACTGTTAGTCATCATAGTGGCACCATTTTGTTAATTTTGAAAATCTCTCTAAGAATACCAAAGACAACTAGCATAAAGAATGAGTGACGTGGGCTAGGACATGTGAAAACCAAATTGTAAACACTTGGATTTCAAAAGCAGACGATACTTCACATTTCAACGACCCAAGTCAACGATTACGATATAGATTCAACCACAGGGGCTTAAAGGTAAGGCAAATGTTAGGCCTAAGCCACTTTCACAATTTCGAATGATTGCTTTACGCTGTTGCCAATCATTTGTATCAACCAAAATAGCTTACAAGCGTACTTTCTGGGACTTTTGGTAAGGTATATTTCACACTTTTGATTTCTAAAAATAGAAATTGACATTAGAACATTTTACGCCTTTAGTCCGAAACATAGTACATAGCATACTTAGATAGCTGTGTGATAATCGCAGAACAGATTTGTTTGGGATTAATGCTCATAAGATTAAGTCTGTATTGGGGTAATATTAAAGGATATCCTATGGAATTGTTTTGATTGTGCGGATTTTTACCATCCCCATACCCCCCCCCCCCC